CTATCACAGGTCCTTACCCTATAGGGTTCATATAAGTTCTTAATAGAACAAAATTCCATGTCAGTTAGGCAGACTCAGTTTATAGACTGGTCTAGAAACTTCAGGAAGCACTGCCCAATAGGGGTGTTTGGTGTATGCCCAATTTCCATTATCTTGGAGCAGATTATCCAGGGGGTCCCAGCTAGTTGCATAGAGAATACAAAACAGAGAAGGAGGTGCCAGTGTGGGTTTAAGGACAGCCCAGATGATTTCTCACCATCCTCTTCTTTTTCCTCTTGGAACCAAGGTTACGGGATGCAGGAAAGAAACAAAAAATGGCTCTTCTTCAATTTCATGTCAGATGTCTCTGGGTGCCCTGCCCAGAATGACATCTATTGAAAATAAGCCTTCCAATGAATGGAAAAGCTCTACCATGCCCAGCTGGCTTTAGTGAAAATTGAGTCTCTAAGCTTTAACATAGTGCTGAGGAATTATTACCATTTAACCCCTGGGTACAGCAACACTTGCTACTAGAAAAAATGGGAGTGTTTTGGCAGATCATCTTGACTCCAGAGAATGGCGTCCATGCTTGTGAACTGTGTTGCTTGTGAAGCAATTGCAAGACTTTGGAATGGGCTGTGGTCACTCCTACCTGCTAGTGCCGACAATGGTCCTCCCTGTGCCACCTGCATGATGTCTGGGCTCCTGCTATGACTGTGACATCCCCATGATGTCACTCCGACCTGGCTATTGAACAGACCTCCCTTTCCCCAGAGCTCACACAAAAGAGGCCTGTGGAGAGGCAGCCAGACTTCCTGACCACAATTTCCTGTACCTTCACTCATAAAAGTTTTACAGTTACCAATCAAGCCAGAGCCTGAAATCACAGAGTGGGATTCCCTCTGCTTCCCACAACCCTCCTTGTTTGAACAGCCATTGTATCACTCTGGTATTCTTTAGGATCTGAAATAAAAGCTAAAGTGAATTCAATCAGGTCACTAAATAGGGGTCCATTAGTGACCACTTCCTGCAACAGTCTGTATGTGGGCTTTGGTGCTTTCATATCTAGCACCAAATCCTCAGATTCTCTCTTTGGAAATTCAGGAAATGCAGAAAAGCTGTGATATGAAGACACAGCAGCTCAGCTGATAAGGACAGTGTTGAGTGTGACCAGGTCAGTCCCCTTCCCTCTGGGAGAAGAGGCCTGACAGCAGAAGACAAGTGGCTCCAGGCTCCTGTCTCACCAAGTCTGTCCCTGTGTCACTATGTGACCTCATACCACTTGTTCTTGGTAGCCCTCATCTGCTTTCAAGTTCATTTTTGCCTTTGGACTTAGAGCCCTAGGCTCTCCATAACATTTTGCTCCCTTTCATCCCAATATGTATTTCTGCTGCAGCTTCAGCTCTGAAACTTTGCCGAGAAAATGCCCACTTGCCCATGTTGGCTCCTTCATGCTGAGAGAGTCCTCTTTGTTCCAATACCACCATTCTTCCATTTCCCAAACTGTTCCTCACCCACCTAAGTGTATCCAGGAAGCCATACTCCCCAGGACAACACCAGCTCCAGCCAGCACTTAATTCTGGCCATGTGGTGCTCAAGTGCCGTCCCTCAGTCCTGGGTACACCAATGCCCCAAATAGGTGCTCTTAGCTCTTGGGCTCAGCAGAGATGACTTCCACTCCTCCTCTTGCTCCCTCTGAGTTCTCTGGTTATTTTCCAAGTCAGGTCCACTTTCCCAAGGCTGCACGTGATGTTCCAGGAAGGATCTAGTCCTGGGTCACAAAGTGTTTTTTTTTTTTTTTAAATCAACTCATGTTTTTCTATTTTCATTTCCTCTTTTTTGAAGCTGCCTAAAGCAATAACCACATTGAAGAGTTGGATGTGAGTGTCTTTTTCTTTGGGTTTTGTGAGACCAAGACAAAAGATGGGAGTAGTAGGCATTTGGTCTTGCTTGACTCAACTAAATCTTACTCCTCCACCAACACCCCTTCACTGTCTTCCTTTCTGGGGCTGGGGGACCCCCCTTTGAACTGACGTGGGTGAGGGTGCTGTCCCACTACTCCAACATACTCTCAAAGCCAAACCAGTGCCAGAGGGAAGGACTTGATTGCCAGAGCCTTTTGTCAATACACATGTCTCTGGTTTCTGCCTTGTCCTGGCACACATGGAGAAAGATGAGGACAACAAAAGCCAGTAAGCCATTGTCTTTTGGTCTTTTAAATCGTATGTTCTCCCTCATATGTGGACATTAGATCAAGGGCAAACACAACAATGGGATTGGACTATGAGCACATGATAAAAGTGAGAGCACACAAGGAAGGGGTGAGGATAGGTAAGACACCTAAAAACTAGCTAGCATTTGTTGCCCTTAATGCAGAGAAACTAAAGCAGATACCTTAAAAGCAACTGAGGCCAACAGAAAAGGGGAACAGGAACTAGAGAAAAGGTTAGATCAAAAAGAATTAACCTAGAAGGTAACACCCACGCACAGGAAATCAATGTGAGTCAATGTCCTGTATAGCTATCCTTATCTCAACCAGCAAAACCCCTTGTTTCCTTCCTATTATTGCTTATACTCTCTCTACAACAAATTAGAGAAATAAGGGCAAAATAGTTTCTGCTGGGTATTGAGGGGGTGAGGGGAAAGGAGGGGGTTGGGTGGGGTGGTAAGGAGGGGTGGGGGGGGCAGGGGGAGAAATGAACCAAGCCTTGTATGCACATATGAATAATAAAAGAAAAAAAAAGTAAGCCATTGTGACTCATTGTCAGCCACAGTGTCAGACTGGTAGCTGCTGAGGAATGTCATCAAGCTACTGTTAGCTCCTAGGCAAATGCCTGAACACAGGGGCATGTGTAACAGGAAGGCAGGTGTGCCCTGCGGACAGCTGGATATCACAGGTGAGTCCTGTAGAAAAACCTGAACTAACAAGGTGGTGCTCTTTGAAACCTGGGGTTCTGAGACGTAGAAGAGCTGTTTTCTTGGCACAAGTGCTTTGGTTACCTTCCAAGAAGCAATTATGTGGGGGCTGGCTTTGTGTTTAAGTAATTAATTGTTTGAGGAGATTATGTACTCAAATGAAAAAAATCAATCATTACTAAAGACATAATTATTTTTAATTTGGGCATCAGGGAGAAATGTGTGATATAGATTCTGTGTATGCAGAATCTCTTTTTGTTCAGAATAGCAAAAATTGGTGCTGAGTATCTGCTCATTGAACCTAGGAGGTGTGTCCTCACTCATGCAACTCTGGGTTCTCACTGGGGCAGGGAGCCAGCAGCCATGGTCCTGTCATACACAGGACCCCAGGGCTCTCTCTCTAGCTCTGCTATGATCCTTAATTTCTCTTGATTCAGACTAGGATTGGTAATTTCCTAACATAATCAGGGTCACAAATTAGGATGTTTGTTTCCATGAACACATTAAAGAAAGAGCAATTTTTTTTCCTTTCAATTGGTGATTAGGTTGGAGGCAATGGCTACTTTAAAGCAATGTCATAGGCGATAAATGAAAAAAATCCTAACATTGGAAGAAGTTCAAGAGAGTGGCTTAGACTCCCCTAATCCTCCTGTTTTGTAGAAAAGAGGAAGTTCAGGCCCCAAAGTGGCTCACAAAGATAGATGAGCAAGGCACATCTTCTGATCTGCAAGAGAGAGCCAGCTTTGAGATCTGTTGACAGTCAGTGCCAAAGCAGATTAGATTTCCAGAGTTCTGTTAGAACATGCCCGCTAGTGCTTCCACCAGGCAGATGGCAGCTGGGGGGAAGGTTGCCTCCTTCCATGCCTATAAAAGAGGCACCAACAAGTCCTATTGGAACCACATTGGTCCAGTCCACACCCGTGGGCACCCTTCCTTCTGTTTGTGGGGTTTAGATTCACAACTTCCTGGGTAAAAACAGTAGCGACCATTTACTGAGCAGTTACCATGCGCCCAGTACATCCACCCTCCTGTTCCCTCATTCATTCAATTCCTATAGCAACACCACAAGCCAGGTGCTTTTGATATCCCCAATTTTTAAAATTATTCATTTATTCACATGTGTACACACTGTTTGGGCCATTTCTCCCCACTCCCCCCTGCCCCCTCCCTCTCCCTCCTAACCCTCCTCGCTTCCAGGCAGAACTTGTTCTGCCCTTATCTCTAATTTTGTTGAAGAGAAGACATAAGCAATAATAAGAGAGACAAGGTGTTTTTGCTAGTTGAGATAAGGATAGCTATACAGAGAGATTCCTAGTGTTGCTTCCAGGTACAAATGTGTTACAACCCAAGCCAATTCCTCTCTAACTGACCTTTTCACTATTGATATCCCCACTTAACAGATGAAGGCAACCAAGGATTTGAAAGACTAACCCTCCCCAGGTAAGTGCAGAGCTAGGGTATGGGTTGGAGTCTGAGCTTGGTCATAAGTTGCAACCTCTCTAACTGACCTTTTCACTATTGATATCCCCACTTAACAGATGAAGGAACCAAGGATTTGAAAGACTAACCCTCCCCAGGTAAGTGCAGAGCTAGGGTATGGGTTGGAGTCTGAGCTTGGTCATAAGTTGCAATGGCTGTCTTCTCCTGGGCATATTTCTAGGCACCCTAAGTCTTTTCAAAGTGTTTACCTTAAGTCTGCAGAGCAGGGGTGGTAATATTTGGGGGTAATTCAGGCTTTCTTTCCTAGTGTCACATACTGGTGGCTTCTCCTCTGAATATTTGTATCATTTAGTGAAGACTGAGACACACACACACACACACACACATGCACACACAATTTCTTATAATCCTAAACCAGCCCTGGAAAACATACCCAAGCTTTGCCAACAACTTTGAAAATGCAAAACAAAATTGGTCAGCTTCCTAAGAATGCCACTCCCCAGCACACATTCCCTCCCTGACACGTTTGCACAAGTGTCTTCATGGCTCCTTAGGCAGCCTGACCTTTTCAGTGTTGGGGCACCTGTAGCTGGCACGCATGCAGCATGGCCTCCTTGGTGGCGGTGGTTGGGTGGGGTGGGTGTTGGGTGGTTAACGATACTCACGTTGATTTGCCACAGATTTTCCTTTGGTACCACTGCTTACAGTTGGTGAAGTACTTCTTGTTGGTGCCAATGACCTTCTGCACAGCACACACGTTGGGGCTGTAGACAAAAGCAACAGTGTTAGGGAGGTGGTCAGCATGTCCACCCACCTTGACATCTGCCCCATCATGTTGGCCTTCCCAGGTCATCAGAAGTTTTTAGGGAGGAAGACAGACAGCTATTTCTGTCTTGGTGGCAGGGAGTGGGTTTGGAAAGTCTTTGGCCCTGTCTACCTAGATTCCCCTTGGTCCCCATAAAATTCCCCTGAAATAAGAAATTGTTTCAGTCTATCCTACACATTGGTATGATTACACATGAATATCCTTTTTTGGTATAGGTAATCATTATGTTAAAAATATTCAAAATTCTAGGTTGCATGTCACAGATAGAGCAAACTAGCAAGGTCCAAGTGGTATGTCTGCTAAGCAAGCAGCTTTGAGAGATGCTCCAGCCTTCCCCTGCATCTGTACTCCAGACTCTGCCCATATATGGCACCCCAGTGTGTGTCCCAAGCCCTGTTATCAGGAAGGGAAGGCCCTAGTACATACAGACATACTCTGCATGTCTACAGCAGCTGCCTGGCTCCCAGACACAACCCAGAGCGTATACACACTGTGCACTAGGGCGCATGGCCAGTTGCTGTCAGGACCATAGCGGGGGTGCCCTCCCAGCTACCTCTTGGTTATTACTTAGACCCCAGCTTCAGTCCCATCCCTGAGAAAGCCTTCCTCTACTGCCACAGCAACATTCTTCTTTTCATCCTCACCCTGGGATGCCAGACCCTTGTTTGATGCTGACTACTAAAGAGACTCTACAACTGATATGGGTGGACATCTCTCCCCAACTACCCACAAAAGAAAAATCATTCTGTAGTTGACATTGTGTTTGAGGTTTGACATCCCAGTTAGGAGCTTGGAATGAACTTATTGAAAAAACAGTTCCAAGACAACCCAGCTCAAAAAGATTCTCAGTAACTCTGGAAAACCAGAGAGTGAACACCTGGGGATTTGCCGAGAAGCCTTTTCCAAAGTCACAGGATTTCTCTTTGGTGTATTTTATTCTCTTATACCACCTCCCAACCAGAACGGTGGGTGCTCAAACCAGGTGGTGGCAAGTCCTTCATTAGGAGCCCCTGGAGCAAGGAGGCTGCTGGGGCTGGATGGTAATCACTGTGAGGGGTTTTCCTGAGTAGGAAGCAGGCTGTCCACAGATTGAGATGGGTGTGGTGGCACACACCTGTGATCCCAGCTACTTGGGAGGCAGAGGCAGGAGGATCATAAGTCTGACGCCAGCTTTGACAAAATTAGTGTCAAAAATAAAAACAAAAGGGCTGGGGGGGTGTGGCTCAAATGGTAGAGTGCTTGCCTAGCATGGGCAAGGCTCTGGGTTCAATCTTCAGCACCACAAAATAAAACAAAACAGAACAACAAGAATACAAAAAAAACCCCACTAACTAAGGGATTTTACGAGACTCTCATCTCAGAGATCTCAGGTGGACTATCTCTTCAATGTCAATGCCTCTGTTACTTAAAAAATGCAATCCATAGGCATCCTTCGATGTGCACGGTATTTTGCAGTGATAGCTATACCTACAATTGCTGCTGGCAGTTGTCAGTTCTCAAATATTCAGGCTTTTGGGTAGTTATTCATTCTGACTCTTTACTTCTCTGACATGAATCTTCTACCATATGACTGTCACCTCTTTTTGTTCAGCTTTTTGTTCTTAGGTAAGAGTGAGTGGCCAATAAGGCACGGGGAGTATTTGGGAACTGATATGAGAACCAGAGGGTGAGAGGGATTAAGGCTGGGCAGAAGACCATAGCCAGCAGGAGGTTTTAGTCCCAGCTGGGTTTCACCAAATGCATACAGCCTCCAGCCAATTTCTGAACACCTGGCTTCTCTGTTTGCTTTCTGGGATTCACCAGTTAAACAGTCCCTAAATAACCCCTAAAGAGTCCCTGCTGGCCACAGTTCTACTTACTGCTGAACAATCCAGAAGCTCTTCTATCTGACTAAGCAGGGAATAATTACTGTCTATGAATTCCCTGCAACTTTATGTAGGCGTATGGTGAGTTTTCAGTGGGTCCCTGTGGAGATGGTTCCAACATTCCTCTGCAGAGTTTCCACTGCTGCTGCCCTTTGTGACAGAAGCAGAGGCTGGGGTGGCCATAACCCTCTCCCTCTCTCATCAGGGTGTGGGTTAGCTGTGTACACAGGAAATCTATAATCAAAATGAGCAAGCCATTTCTGGACCTTCTGCCTCTGGCCTAACAGCATTGCTGTTCAATTTGGATTTGAAAGGAAGTTCAGCCCAGTTTTTGGTTGCTGATATTCAGAAGTGTGGTTGCATTTTTACTTCTCTTTCAGTTGCACTTTTTTTTTCTTCCCTATAACAGCACAGATACAGTAGGGAGCCAAGAGATCACATCACAGTTACTATCTTCCCACCAGCTGTGTTTGCATGAAGTCACTATCTCACTAAGCTGTAGTTTCACCTACAGCTATAAAATGTCTGTAAAATGGGGACTCTACAACAAATTCCCACAGAGTGATGGTGGGTGATGCAGTGCTGCCTGGGAACAAGGCACAGAGATAATTTCTTTCTCATATCACAGAACACCGCATTTCTCCTTCCTTCCTCCCTCCCTCCCACCCACCCACCCTTCTTTCTCTCCTTCCGTCCTTCCCTCCTTCCCTCCCTCCCTCCCTCACTCTTTTCCTCCCTCCCTTCCTCCCTTCCTCCCTTCCTTCCTCCTTCGACTGGCTTTGAACTTGCCATCTCCTTGCTTGGGTCTCCTGGGGTGCTGGGATTATAGGCATGCACCACCAAGCCTGGCTCCTGTGACTTCCTGATTACTCTGTTCATCATAGATTACCATGGTTTTTCCAACTGCTCTGCAAGAGGATTGGCCTACAGAGTATGGTGGGAGTTAATCTAATAACTGAAACTCATAACAGGAGCACCTATGTATTTTTTTAAAAGCCCCATTTTCCAGCTGGTCTGTGTCTCTCCTATGCTCTGAAGAGAAGGAGATGGATCCTCACTACATTTGGCCACCCTTCACTGTGGCTGTGTACAGACTTCATTCTGGGTGACAGTGCTGCAAGGCAGGCTGTGGGGATCTCCTGACTTACAGGTTAAAAGGCAGGAGGAACAAAAACCTCTCAGGTAGTTTGTAACACTCAAACACAATATGTGAGAAAGGACAGGGACCAAAGGTAAGCTGGGCAGAGATAAGAAAAATGCCAGTTGTCACATTTTGACTTTGAGGTGTCATATCCTCTGCATATTTCTCATTGTCCCTCCTATGCACATGGCCTAAGTTAAAGACCCCACCCAGGACACCCCCATTTTCCTGTCTCCTCACCTTCCTATGCACATGGGTCTAAGTCAAAGACCCAAGGACATCCCCAGTGTGTCCTTCCAGGAGGGTGTTATGGCTGTGGCATGGGCTGCCTTGACTTCATTCTGCAGGGCAGCCAGACTGGCTCCCAGCAGCCCCTCTCCCCCAAATCCTTGAACACCTGAAAGGCCAAGGGATACCTGAAGAGCCACAGGCAGAGAAAACAAAGGTAACTGCTCCCTGAAAGGGGCAGCCTGTTCCCATGCCCAGAGCACCCCCAGGTGTGGGGAACCAAGGCTTGCTCAGGGTCTGTGAAGTCAAGTCCATCATCCCCAATAATGAGTTTTGATCTAAGTACAGACCTGCCTAGTCTCTTGGAGGAGAGGCACTGCCTGAGGTGCAAATGCCAGATCCCAGCAGCATCTGACCTTCCCCTAAGGAGTCCCTACCAGAACCTGCTTGCATATAGTTTTACCAGCTGTGAAAACAAAGTTGGTGCAGCCGGGTAGGGTGGAGGCTGCAGCAAAGCCTGGCTATGTGTGAGGTGGGCACAGTTTGGCTTTGTATGTACCAATACTGCCCACCTCTGCCTGGGTTCATGCCTGGCTCTTTTTCAGGGCAGACCTGCTGAGTTGGCTTCCTAAAGTCAACACATCTTCAGGGTCTCAAAGGAATACCTCTACATTTCCAAACTCAGCTTTTGCCTTAAGACAAACTCCAATGCTGGCTCCAGTGCATACTTCAGGACTGTGGGACAGTCTTGTGTCCTCTCAGGACTCAGTTTCCCTTTCTGTACAATGCATAGATCAACCCAGTGAACTCTCCTGCTCTTTATTTTCAGAGGGAGAAAGTACCACACTCCACTTGGTGTGCTGATGCCAGGTAGTGGGTACAGGGCATGGCCAGGTGCACAGGAACCTGGGGTGCCTAGGATGCTGACTGGCACACCACCTGGTGTGGCCATGGTCTCATGTCTGGAATGGCGGGACAATGACCCGGCTAGACTGGAATATGTGCATCGCTGAGAGGGCTTCCTCTCTGCCTTGGGCACCTTCTCATGACGATTCTGGGCAGAAAACTGCCGACGCCCCCTTCCACTAGTTGCTGGGGCTGAAAGTGCGATTGTCTCCGCTCTTGGCCTGACTCGGGGTCACTGGTCATCTCCCCCACCCCCTTCCTCTACAAAGCGTCCTGCGCTGGCTTCTCTCCATCGTCCCGCACCTCCCTCCCTCCCTCCACCGGTGCAGGGCTGGTGTCTCTGAGCCCTGCGCGCTGCTTGCATTTAACTTGGGCTTTGTGCCGAGTTCCCGGTCCGCTTCAATGTCCCCAGCGACGTGCGCTCCGAGCCCGGGACACCGGTCTTTCCGCCTCCCCCCCCCACCCCCCGCCACGGGACGGCTCTGCTTACCCGTGCTGGCGGCCACGAAGCCGGCTGTGCTGCAGTACCAGCTGGTAAGGCGACTTGGGGGGACCAGCCAGGGTCGCGGCGGGGCCCAGGGCCAGCGCCAGGGCGAGGGCCAGCAGCCGCACGAGGAGCGCCATGGAGTGGAAGGACCGACGGACCGGCAGACGGAAGGACGCGCGAACTCCGGGGAAGTGAGAGCGCCCGGGCCGCCCGCGCCAGGTTAAGTAAGCGGCCAGCGGGAGGGAGCGGCCGCGAGGGGCGGGGAAGCCCGCGGCCGAGCGGGGAGGGCGGGGAGGGCGGGGAGCGCGGGGAGCCCAGGCGCCTCCCAGCCCGCGCCCCCGGGCTGCGCTCCGCACCCCCCCTTACCCCCCTCCTCCCCGCGCCCGCGATCACGTCCTTCTCAGCTCCCTCCTGCACCGCCCAGCCCTCCACACTCACGTCCTCCCTCTCTCCCCTGGACTACTGGCCCCTGGGCACAAAGAGGGCGAGTCCCAGGTGGGGACCCTGGGAGTGAGTCTCTGAGGCTCGCCGAAAACTTCGCTGCAAAATGCCCTGAGCCCTAAGATGCTTCGCTGATTTGCTACGAGCCCGGCTGCAGGAGGGGCTCTGCGGATTCCCAGGAAGCTATGGCCCTCAGGACTGGTCTCTGCATTCCGCATGCGGTCATGGGTCAGGCTAATGGAAGTATAGATGAGATGCAAATCCCCTGACAGACAAGATGCCCGAAAATGTGGGGCAGGTTCTGTTGGGCTCTAAGGTGCTCTTGGAAACCTGGGGAAGGGTAGGGTGCTCAGCTTGGTACTCATAAACAGCTTTGCAGCCCCATGTGCCAGAGATGCTGCAAAGAGAAAGAAGGCAAAAATCCTGACCTGGAGGAGCTGGGAGCTAGTGTGCAAATAGTCACATGGTAGGGAGGAAGGTGAGTTCTCACCCCAGCACCTATTAGTCACCCACCAGTTACCTGGCACTGCTAGCCCTGGAGAGAAGCTCATAGTTGGGGGATCAGCCGGCCAAGCCAACAATGTGCCATGGAAAGGCTGCTTTTAGGCCTGAAGGATGAAAAGGATTTAGCTAGGCGACAGGAGGCTGTGTTCAGGAAACTCAAGTTGGTTGAGGCATGAGAGGTGAAGTCAGGCAGAAATGTAGTTGGACCCAGAACCAAGCTAAGAGTGTAGATAGATGATTGGGAAGCGAGTAAGTGACATCATCAGTGTCATGATCAGGGGTTAAGAAAGACCAGATAAAATAAGGCAAGATAGGAGGTAGGAAGATCAGGTGACTAGGAGGGGACCCTGTGGGAGGTGGCGATGGAGACAGACGATAGACAGAGGGGTGTCTAGGAGAACTTGGGGGCTGTGTACAGGGAGTTGGGGAGAAAGAAGAGTCAAGGATGAGTAAGGTGTTTTGGACCCAAGCATCATGGTGGATGGTGGTGCCATTTTTAATATGAAGGACATGGAAGGGGTTACAGTTTGCTAGGAGAGGGTGTTTGGGACACACTGAGTCTGAGATGCTCCAAGTGGAGCATCTGCAGGCAGCTGGACGTAAGGGTCTGGGGCTTGAGCAAGGGACACAGGATGGCGATTCATACCTGGGAGTCATTCTCCAGTGAGGGCCATGTGGACAAGAGGTAAGTGATGACATGATGGAGAGGCACCATGGGCAGAGAGCAGTTGGTAAAGAAGATGAAGGAGTGCTGACAGCAGAGTGGGTAGAAATAAAGAGAGTGGAGCTGGCATGGGAAGGAGGGAGGCTAGAAGGAGGAAACTGTTAACAGAGAGGAATGCCACACACAAGACAGATCTGAATAGTGTCTGCTGTGTTGAAAACAAAGGGGTCACTGGGGACTTGGCTGTGGAGAGCAGGATGGCCAAAGACAGATATGGTGGCTGGATGCAGAAATGAACTGGTGGAGGCATGAGTGGGGAATGTAGAAGGGAAGGGGAGAGTTGGGATGGAGGCCAGGGAAAGACAAAGTCAAGAGAGGCTTGGGGATGTTAGAGCTGATAGAAAGAAAGTGAGAAGGAGGTCAAAGCCAGGGAGAAAAGGGGATAATGAGAGCGAGGGGCAAGGATGGAGAAGAGACTGGGGCAGATTGGCTGAAGTGCTGGAGAAGGGCTACCCCTTTCTGTCCTGAGGGCAGAAAGCTATTGGGGCCTGTCTGGGAATGGAGGAGAGGAGCAGATGGGTTTGAGGAAGATTTCAGTGGTACCACTGACTAGACTTGAAACATTTGAAAGGAGGACTGGGAGGTTTGTAGCTAGAAGGACTGGGCGCATGAATGGCACACCCTGGTGAAAGTGTGTATTTGGATGAATGAAACCAGTAAACCAGGACTCCAGTTGTGTTCACAAGGTACATGGCAAGGCACCCACACATCCAGTTTAAGATGGACGGGAGGGAGCTGCATTCACAGATCCACAGCTTAGGAGAAGTGCAAGGACTGGAGATAAAGGTTTGGGTTCCTACAACTAGAGATGGTGGCCATAGCCATGGACTGGAAGAGCTCCCTCAGGAACATGTGCAGAAAGAGAGAAGGAAGAGCAAGAAGAGGAGAAGATGGCTGCCAGAGCCTGGGGTAACCCTCCTGGAGATGCTGAGAGGTAGGCAAAAAAGGAACCTTGAAGGGAGATCCGGAGGTTGCAGGAGAGCATTTCAGACAGCCATCTTCACTGCCAGGAGGGGCAGAGTTCAAATTGGACCATATCAATAAATGGTTCCTAGCATATTATTGGCACTCAGAAAAATGAAAGATTATAAGGCTGTAGAACATTGTAACCTGCGCCTGTATCTTTTGCACTGAAGACTAGAGGATGTTTTGGGATAGCCTTGACCTTGGGGAAAGCCAGGTCTTTTCCTGATGCCCTCTGTGACTCTTATCTCACCCCATCTCCCCAGAGGGAGAAGTGGGACAATTAGTTCCCTGGGTACATGTGGGGGCCATTCCTGGTGCTAGGATCTCTGCCACATGGGGGGAATGTTTCCTTTGTCCCGTCTCTGTTTAGTTGGGGCTGACATTGCTCCCTGGTGAGGACCATCAAGCACAAATTTAGGTCTGGAATAAGATTTTTCCCCAAAACAACTTTTTTGAGCAAGGAGAATTCAACTCATGCTGGATTAGTTCTGACTTTGGGCTCCTGGGAGTTAGCTCTACTTTGTCTATGAATCATTTGCCTTATTGTGGTATTTATTATCATCTTATTTGTTTTCCTGGAGCCTCAAGGGAGAAAATCCAGGGAACACAGTAGGAAGAACACTGAATGATTTCTGCATCAGAAAATCCTATCCACTGACTTTCTGCTCAGCCAGGGAACCCCACAAAGAGAGAGGTGCCATTAGCAATGACTTTACTTGGTGCATCAAGGTGTATGGCAGCTAAGATACCAGTCAGGGAAGACTGCTTGGCCAGGGGACAAAACACCATGGCCTCCATGAGTTGGCATCTGAGTATGAGGTGCTGTTAGAATAACTCCTTCATAAAATCAGTGTGGTCCTGAAATGAAAGTTTCTGCACTCAGAGGGGAGGAAAGCAGCTGGGTGGTTTAGATTGATAGCTTGGCTCCACCCCTGAGGAATAGCACTGGTACAACAAAGTGACTAAGTGCCAGCTCTGGAGATAGGTGACCTGCGTCTCAACACCAGCCCTGCTACATTCTAGTTGTGTGGCCTTAGATAAGTTATTCAACCTCACAGAGATAATGATAAACCTTAGCTCACTGAACTCTAGGTGAGCTAATGAAATAATTCATTAGGGATTACTACAGTAATATCGTCCATGTGGAAAACGGGATCGTTAAGCAACAATCCCAATAATGATCTGAAAATACTCATTGACTTGATTTGAAAGCAAAACAATTCTCTGAACTTCTTGGTGTAGGATATTGGGAAGGTCCCAAAGAAAGGCAAGCACAGAAGAAGCTTTCCCTTGGGACCAGGAGAACTGGCTGCAGTAACCTCTAGGGGAGATGTCTCTTCCAGCCCAGCTCCCCCAGCCACACACAGGGACTCTGGGCAAGTCAAGTAATCTTGTTGGAACTCACTCTCCATGCCTGTGAAATGAACAGGCAATGACTTGAGTTTTTCCAGGAGCTCAGTAAAGAGATCACAGTAATACTTCAGTTACTGTTTAAATGTTAAAAAAAATTCTACCCCATGCTTCACCATCCAAACGCTCTCCTAAACCATAAAAACCAGAACTCTGTGAGGGTAAACATGTCGTCTCACCGGCGGCTACTTTGGAGAAAGGGTGATACCGCTGGAGGGAGGAGCATGGTCCTCTCTCTCCAGATAGTCTGGAGTCACCCAGGGCAAACATAGCACAGACCTTTCATTTGGGAAGCATTTTTTTTCTGTCTATGTTAGAAAATCTAAACAGGGAGAAAATTAAGCTTTGGGGAGAACAATAATTACTAGACATTTTTAGGTACTTAAAAAAATAACTACTTTCATGCTAAGTGCCATATACAAGATCACCAAAAACAGTTTCATTTTTTAGGCTGGGCATGGTGGCTTATGCCTGTAATCACAGCTGTGTGGCAGGTAGAGGTAGGAGGATTGTGGTCTGAGGCCAGCCTCCAGTCAAAAAGCATGAGATTCTATCTAAAAAATAAGCAAAAAGGGCTTGGGGGCGTAGCTTAAGTGGTAGAGCGTTTGAACGCTAAGCCCTGAATTCCAACCCCAGCACTACCCCCAAAAAGTTAGTTTTAAAAAATAACTTTGTAGTGCATGACAACAGTCCTTAAGTATCAAGATAAATTAGTAGTTCCAACAAGTTCCCCATCAGGGAACAAAAGAAAGAAAATGGTTCTGGTGCTGTTGGTGACATGTGTCAAAATCAAGCTGTCCAAAGTTCCTGGTGATCGTTTGGGCATCAGGGGAGATAGAGGACAGTGAAAATCACTTCCAGAGGACATTTGGCCTTTCTCACCTGCCCTGGACAGTTACCTAGAGAGCACTTAGAATTCAGGACTTTCTAGGACAAAGAAAGGTGAGTTTTGGCATGAGATCTCCAAAGTAAAAGAGTACATGAATCAAATTTTGGGAAAAATTCCATCCCTTGTGTAACACACAATACCTAGAACAGTCCTTCACACACTGATTACTCCATCTGTGTAACAAAAACAGGCAGAAACATCCCAGTTTACCAACATCAAGGGATGGTTATAGTACTGTTCAAGGGATAT